TGAAAGAATAAGGGACAGGTGAGTCCCAGGATACAGAAACCAACTTACAACTAGATTTCCCAGTTCTATAAACCTAAAATTTTGCTCTTTTTGCTTATACACATTTGAGTTCGATTTTTTTCAGCTACAACCAGAAGGCTCCTGAGTCCGATATTCTTTATCAGGGAATGAATCCCCCAAATACCTACTTGCCCTCCATAACAATGGGCATCTATTTCATCTCAGGTTGGTTCCCCGATTAGAGTCACGGTGTCCCGTCACCACACTGCTGCCATCTGGGGGCTCCTCCACATTCTGTGGGATACCAGGGTGGGAGTGAGACAGCCTGCCTTTGCTTTCCCCTTTCTTCGGCCTCCTCCCCCTATAGCATCACAGAGATGCCAGTGATTTCTGAAAAATTCTGAATCTTTGTTTCCCAGGGCTAGACCTACATGGTTAGGCCTGAGGGTGGGGATCCTCTGACTGGCTGCATCCGCTGGGAAGGGTCCTCCCAAAGAATTCTTAAATAATTAATTAGGTGACACTAGTGTTAAGGAGGACAGGGGCCCACTGGAACTCTCACGGTGATTTGTGGTTTCCAAAGCACATTTGATCTTCTTGCAGCCCTCTGAGCCGGGGAAAGCTGGGTTTGATAACCCATTTTACAGATGAGGAAATGGAGGCACAGGGAAGTTAAGTGACGCCTCCAAGATCGGACCGATAATAAGCAGCAGAGCCAGAGATTAATCCAGTGTTCTGGGTTTGTTTTTCCCTCCCCTTTAATTTCAAGTTCAGCCTCTTTTTATAGCACTGGGCTTCCCTCCAACTACCTCGTCAAATCTTCGGCCTCAACCTTCCTTCCTGCCCCTGCTGCCTCCTACTTGTACCTTCTTCCCACATTTCCCATTTCCACCGATGCCAGGAGAACCGTTCTTCCAGAGAAGGCTCATTACACAAAGCATCTGAAGGGCCCCTGGCAGCTCTCCACTTGATGATGACCACCATTATTCGCAGCAAATAATGGAAAACAAACACAGGGACAGATGTCTCTCTCGAGTCCTGGTCTATACTGGATGAAATACAGAGCAAACAGAAACCCCGCCTTCAGGAAATGCCGACTTTTGCCCTGCTCAACGAGTTGATTCCGTACGTGAGATACAAAGGCTCTCCCTCCGGGTCTGCAACCCAGCTACTTGACGACAGTTCTACACCTTCATCAAAAACCTAACCAGAACCCGAGAACACAAATTTCACAGGCGGAGAGAATTTTTGAGACAATCCAACCATCTTCCCAGATAAGGAAACAAAGACAGAGAAAGGGAAGTGACCAACCCAAATGCCATGGGAAAAGACAGTATTTTCTTTCCTTTGACCTAAAGAAATGCTATGTATATTTGGGGCCCCCAAAATTAACTGAACACACCGCAAATCAAATATTTTCCAACTTATCCTTTGGGGAAAGCGCATGCTCAGAACCACGAGGCAGAAACAGCAAAATATTCAACTCAATTTACCCTCAAAAACCTTGCCACCTAATTGGCATTTCCAATAACCTTACTGAGAAACGAGAGGAAGAGAAAAAAGGGGAGGTTTTGTGAATGAGACACACAGCGAGCCGTTCTAAGGGAAGCCAGACATCCCCAGAGCTTTGCAGCTCTGAAAAGGGACTTTCTGTTTAGCCAAGTCACCAAAGTAAAAAGGCTTCAATATTTTCCTTCTTTTATTTATTATTCATACCTTTCCTACTCCAAAAAGGATATGCAGCAGCTAAAAGCCACTTTAGGGTTTAAAAAAAAAAAAAATTAACGTATAGGTTACTGAAAAGTGATTAAAAGAAAAACCACTGCCCATAAAAAATGTCCAAAGGGGGGAATAATAATAATAAAAATGTGCTGATACATTTCCAAAAAATCAATAGAGTTTCAAAACTCTGAGTCCAGTCCCCCCACCCCGGTCAAGGTCAGCAGGAAAAGAAAGGTTTGTTTCTCCCTTTGACTTGGAAGTCACACCACCCTTAACAGGTGGGGGCATCTCTCCACCGAGCTGAGTCCAATTTATCCCTCAGTGGTTTGGGATTACCACTAATTCTGTCGCTGACTAATTATACAGTTAAAGCAGTGATTAACATTTAAAAAGGGAACTGCACGGTTTACTATCAAGAAGGCCTGCATTCAGACTACTCCAGGGGCCCTCCTGGTTCTTGGTTGATAAAGGGGTGCAAGGGAGGTGAGGGTGGAGGCACCCCAGTCACAAAGGGGCCGGGAGTGGACTGGGGGCAGGTATGCGAGGCCTTGGCATCAGCCTGTGTGGGGCCGTAGGGTCCGTTCCAAATGGAGTGTGGGCCCCAAGGCATGTGAACTGAGCCCAAACATGAATATTAGGAACAGTTACGGGGAGCAAGGCTATAAGGGTGTGTTCAGGTTGCACGGTGCTCCCCAAAAAGATACACTGAAGTCCTAACCCTTGGGACCCGGAAACAAGACCTTATTTGGAAACAAGGTCTTTGCAGATGTAATCAGGTTAAGATGAGCCCTGAGTGTGGGGCCTAATCTGATTAGGATCCCCATAAGAGGGAAATGCCCTGTAATGACATAGGCAGAGACTGGAGACATGCAACTGGCAGGCCAAGCAGCACCAAGGATTGCCCGCCACCACCAGAAGCCAGAAGGCGCATGGAGGCAGGGGCAGGGCTAGGCGGGTGAGGCAGGGGAGGGCGCTGAGAGCCAACAGGCAGACCCAGGCTGCACAGGAAGGGGGTCTTCATACTGCAGGGCTTTGGTTTCACCCCTCATCCTCCTTCGGTCAACACCACTCTGTGCTCCTCAGAGGCCCTAAATATTTGGCCCCGTCCACACTGGAGAAGAGAGGCTCAAAAGGAGGCGTGGGGCCCAGGCAGCTGGCTCCCATTCCAGAAACGCCAGGACGCCCAGCACAGGCATTACCACACGTCATCACACTTAAAACAGGGCTGAGTGTCAGACGCGTCGTTATTTTACATAACACGAAGAACGAACGAACACCACCCATTATAATCTTAAGATGCAGTGATAGATAATGCACTGCTGATTTCAGAGACATTCAAACGAAAAAGTGTCTCAAAGTAGATGAAACGTGTAAGAAAAGATCAAAGGTTAGGGGAAAAGGCAGGTAAGCCAGGTTCAACAGATTTCTGCAGCTCAGGGCCTACAGTGTCTGGGCATCTGTTATGAATGTCTGAGAGGGGCTGCAGAGTGTTTTTCCCCAGCTGATAGGGGTAAATGGCTAGATCACTCATGTAGCTGGATCACACTTAGAGACCCTCAACTCTGCAAATGTTTCTAAAAGAGTAAAGAACACCCCTGGCTGACATACGGTCCCAGCATGACATATGGTCCTCGGACTGTTAGCCCTGCGCCAGTCACACAGGATCAGGGGCCCTGCGCGCATCAGGTATCCCTCTGCACTCTCCCAAGCCGAGCCAGAGTAGGGGCCCTCCGGGGGCTGCCCACACGCACGTTACCTCCCCCTTCCCCTTCTCTTAGCTGGAAGCAGGCACAGCCGTGCCTCTCCGACAGAACTCTGCTAATCCTGGAAAGACTCAATGCTCCTAGATGTGGGTGCCATCTGGAGCTGGGGAAAAAGCAGGAGTGAACCACAAAGCCAGAGACATCCGGACAAAACCCCAGGCACACCACAGCCCCACCACTCCAGTGACCAGAGTTTCTTTGCTCGTTATTAAAAAGTTAAAACTGCTGGTAACCAGGACCTCAAGGAAAACAAAAGGAGGGACGTGGAATAGATTTCCGACAGTCGAGAACCATGAGAGATATAAACGCCGATGCGTACGTGACCACAGAGCCAACAGAGCACATGCCCTCCATCAGCATCCAGATCTCATCCGGGACTTCTAAAGAGCACCACAGACACGGCACGACTGTCCCACCGCGGCCGGTCCGCTCCAACAAGCTGTGCGCTTGCCCATCCTTTGTGAACATCAACTGGAATGGCTGCTTTCCTGACACCCATCTTGCAAGCTGCGTACCAGATGCTCCAAACCGAGGCCTGAAGCGAAGCCTCCAGAGCAGGGAAGAAACAACAGGCAGGTGTGAGGGCTAGGCTCTCAGGGCGTAGACTCACAACCCCTGGAGAAACCTAGAGAAACCGGACCTCCCCATAATCTCTCCCCCTCCCTCTCGTGCAGCAGGTGAACCCCAGGCCGGAGCACAGAGCACCCTTCGGAGCAGGATTCCTGGGAGGGTGCCAAGCCGGGGCCGGCAAAGCACCTGCCCCTGCAAACAACTAGCTGCGGGTCAGCCGGACAGAACGGCCTCCTCCGAGCGAGCCGAGCTGTGCCCTCTCAGCCTCCACTCTGCCGGGTGCAGGAGCTAAGCCCCCTCCTCTGGGGAAGGGGTACTGACGATCCACGGGGAGCTCCCAACACCCCTTTGTGGGCCATGAGCTACACAGCTGCACACGGACAGGAGAATTTTTTTCTCTAATTCTACCTCCCCTTGCCGTTTGTCTGCTTGAGGGGCTACCTTCATTTAACATCTATAAAACTCTTTTAGATGGGAACGTGAATCTCCCCTCTGAGTCCAATACCCAGCTGGCCACTGGGTTGCTACTTATCTGAAGGGAGGTCTTGGTGCCCTGAGGAAGACATTTTCCTAAAATGAACTCTTCATTTGTTCTGGAGACGCTCATGTTCTAGAGCAACGCACACACACACACACACACACACGACCCTTCCTTATCATTAGCCACTAGACAGTCAGTCCAATGAGGGCAGATTAGCCTTGTCCAACCATGGCATCTCCAGTGCCTGGCACACGGTAGATGTTCAGTAGGCATATGACGGATGGATGGATGGATGGAGGGTGGATGGACAGAGGATGGATGGATGGAGGATGGATGGCAGAACAGATAGATGAATGAATGAAGGAATGAAGGAGGGACTAAATGAACAAATGAAAAGAAAGTAGGAAAGATGTTTTCACAGAGAATTCAGCTCTCAGAGCCCAATCTCTGGGTGAGAGACTCACCTGAACCATCAGGGATGGACCTTACAAACGTTGGCAACATCTTGACTGTGGCTGTTGGATTAAAATCCCGGGAGAGGCCATTCTTCATCTCCTTCTTGAAACGAGTCATGATATCTATTAGAGTTTCATCGGAGAGCCGCATGGCATAGAGATACTTGTCAATCTGGGGGAAGGATAAGAAGGAAGGAAAGTGAGGCAAAGCCTGAAGAAGGTCAGTTCAGCTTGAGTCTGGCTGGGGCAGGACAGGACAGGGTGAGGTGCCCGCCTGTCTAGGACAAACCAGCTCCCACAGACTCTGACACACCACATGATGAGATAGGCAGTCATGCAAATGCCATCAGCCACGGCCCTCAGAGCAGTCTTGCAAATGCTCCGAGCCCCAGTTCTTCCTGTAAAATGAACCAGGTAGCTCCAAGTCCCTTCCAATCCTCGAATGTTACACGGAAGTTGCCCTTCGATCCCCAAGCACGTGCCGGAGGCGCCCTAAGCCTACACATGACTCCTTTCCTCTGTGAGAAGTAGCTGGCTCATCCTCAAGTGGATGGCAGTGTCACAGAGGTTAAGAACGAGGGTGCCAGAGCCAGCCACGTGGGGTTCAAATCCCAGCACCATCACTTAACAGCTGTGTGATTTTCAGTTTCCTCAACTGAGAAACTGACATGGTAAATCTCACAGATGGGAGTTTTAAGATCAGATGAGACGGAGAAGCACTTAGAACACAGAAAGTGCTCAATAAACATTAGTGTTAACATGACACAGTGGTGCTGGTGGGTTTCCTCGGGCACGATTTCTAGGTGGGTGGAAACAGTGGCCAAAGGGCTGGAATCATTCAGGACAAGGGGCGGCAGGCCCAGAGCAGAGAGACCTTAACTCCACCGTTCCCAGAAGGTACGGAGACAGCCCCCAGGCTCCCACACCCATGGGCCAGGGCCGACATGCCCATACTTCCAAGTCATTCCTAGTACTGCCCCAATCTACTGCTCTTCCTGGGCTCCCCATTCTCCTTGGGGTTCCAAGGCTCCTAACCACAGACCCCTTGGACTGTCGCTGGCTATTCTTCCTTCATAGTATCTTCCCATTTATTCTCTCAGAAAGTATTTATTGGGCACCTACTGTGTACCCAGCTCTAAGTCACCTTGTCTCACCATTCATTCTTTTTGCTTCCCTTTGGCTTAGGAAGCCCTGACAGCCATGTGCCTGGATTTCTCCTTCCTCATTCCTGACTCCTCCTCAGTCATTCACTGTAATGGTTTTCCATCTTCAATCTCTCTCCCTTCCAACCCATCCTGTACAACACTGCCACAGTCACCTTCTTAAAGTGCAACCCTGGTCAATTCTTTTCCGTGCTCAAAGCCTCGCAGTGTCTTCCATGTCCGAGGTGCCAACACTCTGCAGGTGTGGCTTCGTGCTCTCGGAACTCCGGCCTAAACACCTCGACCATTCCTGGGGGGATCCCTGGGCTTTCCCACCAAAAAGCCCTTCCTTCTCTTCCCAGCTATCCAAATCTCCCCTACCCTTCCAGGTTCAGATCAAATCTCACCTCCTCCTGCAGATGTCGGAGTTCCTCAGGCTGGAGATGACCCCTCCCTCAGCACTGCTCTCTCTGCACGGTAGAGCCTGGATCACAGCTTTCTGCACCTGTCACCTTTACAGGGCCTGCTCCATTCACCTTGACCCCCCAGTGCCTTGCACGCAGCCTTGCACACGGAAGGCTCCCGGGGGATGGAGAGAGAGATTTATGACCCAATGAGGCTGAAAAGACCTTGATGCTTATTTGCTTCTGAGAATGGCATCTCATGCTCACTTTGCAGGGTGGCTGGAAACGTCCTGACTCAAGGACACAGAGTCCCCAGCCCTAGGTCATTTCTGCATATTTGAGCCGGGGCAGCCTTCTGCTCACTCTGGTCTCCATGCCTTGTGCTCCCCCAGGCCCTGCCTGTCCCCTACCTCACGAACCATCAGCACATTGGCAGGAGTCCCCCAGTGTCCTCAGCGGCCAGAGACAACCCTGCCCCCAACCCCAAGCTCTCCTACCATAGCCACCTTTTCCCTTCCCCCTTGTGATAAAGCTTTGCAGAGAAGAGCAATCAGAAACTACCAAGAGCTTAAGTAGAAATTGCCAGAATCACGGCCTCAGGAAAAGACACGCTCTGTCCTACCCCCAAGGCTGGCACCAGATCAGCAAAACTTGCTGTCGTGGTGCCCACAGTCTGGCGGGGGAGAGGCAGTCACGATACAAGGGTGTGTGAGCAGCCCCAGGAGCAGAAGTCTACTGAGAAGTCTTCCCGGAGGCGTGATGTCAGGGTGTGCATCCAGGCACAGTCAAGAGCATGTGTGAAGGCCAAAGGCGGGGGCGGGGGGGGTGCAAGGAACAGAAAGAAATTCAATATGGATCAAGCACAGTGTAAAAAGTGAGGCAACTAGAAAGACTGTGAGGTGCTAAATTGTGCAGGATCTAGTAACACACGTTAACAAGTTTAGACTTGATCCCAAAGCACAGCGAGCCTTGGGATGACTTTGACGAGTATTCAACAATGAGATTCGTGTTTCAGTGAGATTGAGCTGTCTGCTGGGGACAGAATGGGTGAGCAGGGGCAAGACCATGCACTAAATCAATAAACGTCACATTGCTACTCTAGCATTTGGGACATGCTTCTGCTATCATGTTCCCCACCCTCCATCATGAGGTGTTTATTGACAGGTCTATCTCTTCTGATAAAACATGTGAGTTCCCTAGGGAAAGGAACTCACCCGGTTGCCTGGTACAAAAGAGGAATTTCATTCATACTAAATGCTAGAATACTACTCTATATTTATCTTATGACTCACAGTATATCGAGCGTTTTCATATCCAGTAGGTCATTTAACCTTCAAAACAACCCTATCAGGGACACACTCTTGATCCCCATTTTACAGATGCAGAAACTGAGGCTCCACAAAGCAAAGTGATTAGTTCAAAGACACAGCCAAGAGAGTCAGGTCTCATACCTGCAAGTCTAACGCTGTTCCCTACAATTGTTCCCATCCCTCAGGGAAGACCAGTTCCCCTATTCTGTGGAAGGCAAGCCCAAGTAAAGCAGCTGAGGTTTTCCAGCTGGACAGGAAGAAGCTTCTAGAAAAGCCAAGGCTCTCTGCAGCTCCACAGCCATCCTGCCCCTTGACTCAAGGTGCAGGTTAGCACAGGGACACTGATCCGAGAAAAAAACCTAAAAGAGCCTAGAAGCTCAAAGGAGGAAGCAGGTTGGGGACATAGAACACAAGCCAGCCCCCAAGCATCTTTGGAGGGGAGGCTTTCCTCCCCTGGTTCAAATTCATGAATCATTATGTGGGACAACCCCTCTCAGAGGATATGTGGAAACGGGGTCCAAAAAGAAGGTAAAAGTTGGGGCCGAGCTGCAACTGAGCCTGAGGCCTCCTGGATCTTATGTGAATGAGAGAGTACGCCATGGGGAGCCCTTTCTACCGGTCTTCGGGAGCTCAGGAGGGGCCTCTGAACCAGCGTAGATGCTGGGCCGGGGGTGGGCTGGCCAGCCAGGCAGTGCCCGGTGCAGGGCTCAGCGGGTCCCCGGCACACGGACTGGGGCCCTTCAAGCGGCGCAGGAAACACAGGTGCAAAGCCCACGTGGGGGACACTTGTGGAACACTCCCAAGGGCCCAGAGTGCCCAGCGCCTCACTGAGCCAGGGGCCTCGCTCCCCTCGTTCAGGCCAGCCCTGCCTGGCAGCTGGCCGCACTGCCCCTGTCCACCTGGGAAAGGCGACTGGGTCGTGGCTGGCGGGAGGGAGGGAGGGTGTCAGGCCAACCCCCCTGCCCGCGTGCTGCGCATCTCGGGGCGGCTGCGCCCTGCAAGAAACCCAGCAGGAGAGCTGCTATCCCTTCGGTGGGGCCAGAGGCCCAGGAGCCGAGGCCGGCAGAGGGAGGCAGCCCTGAGGAAGGACAACTTCTGCTCTCCGGGGGTTTGGCCGACGTCTGCGGTCTTCTCAACTTGTCCATTTCTATCCCCTCTCCTCAGCGTCTCAGATCGCGCCCCTCCTCCCTGCGCCCCGCCCTCCCCTGACACATGCGCAAACAGGGGCTGCTGCTCGGCCGCACGCGGGTGCCCAAGGATCCCTCCTGTGCCTCCAACCCCTTCCTCTGCAGTTTGGTGACCAGAGGCCACAGCACAGCACCCCCGGAGGCTGCAAGCCGCAAGCCTCGGCCTTCGGATGGTCTGTCACAGGCCAGAAGCTCCCAGAAATCCGTGACAGGAACCCTCAGCCCGCCCTCACCCCCCCCGCCCCCGCTCCCTCTCGCACGTGGCGTCTGACACACGCACGCAGGCCTCCGGGCCGACTGGGAAGGAAACGGGGAGGTGCCAGGCTCCCAGACACCGCCCCGCGGGCTGGGTCCCGCAGACCCTAGGCCAAGACTGAGAAGGACCCCCGCCCCGGCTCCGGGCACCTCTCCCCAGCCCCTGAAGGGAAGGTGCCCTAATACTGTGCAAACCCTTGTCCTGGATTGGCCTTCCTGCGGACCAGGAAGGCCTGGAAGCTCTCGGCCACGCCCGAAGCTGGACCACGGCAGAGGCCGGAGGAGACCCCGGCAGAGAGAGCACGCCCCCCCCCCCCCCCAGCTCCTCTGGCTCAGAGCTGTCGGGCTAGCGAGAGAGGCCAGGGGCCCGCACTGGGCTGCACGCGAACACCGCTGGGCCCGACCTCAGCCCCTGCTCCTGCTCCCAACAGAACACGCACAAAACACCAACTCAAGACCGGACATGCCCGAGGGAACACGCCCTTGTGGCAGGAGGCACGGTCACCCCTGGTGACCTGGGCATTTTGACACACACACCCCCCTCCCCCCCCCCGGTGGACGGGGACATGGCCATGGAAATTTTTCACTCCTTCTCTCCTCGGCTCCGCCACGAGGCCCCAGAACAAGGCAGGGCACAGGGGTGACTGCAGGTGCCCCGCGCCCGCCTTCCAAGTGAACTTCCCCCGGGAGACGCTCTACTCGCAAAGACAACTGAGGGGCAGGCAGTGGAGGGTTAAGAAAACTCTTGCTTCAGGACAGGGCAGAGATTTCAACATCGGATTCACTTCTCTTAGGGAGGCTGACTCAGGAGAGAACCGGGCCGATGAGTGTCACTTGGATAATAGTTCGCCATCTGCCGAGGGCTCTGCCGTTTATACTCAGGACTGTCACACACGTCGTCCCGTCTGGATGTCACAGAAAGAGATGAAATGAGCTCATGGACGCCACGGCCGGGCATGAGGCAGGCACGAAGAACGTTAGCTTCCGCCACCACGACCCGGGGAGGGAGGCAGGAAGGACAGCCTTATCCCCGTTTTAGAGTCGAGGACACGGGGACCCGTGACTCACACCAGGTCTCATGGTTTGGAAGTGGCAGCCGGGTCTAGATCCCAGGTCTTCTAAGCCCTCATTCTGGGCTTCTCCTTACGCCTTGGAAAGAACACGGGACTGTGGATGAAGAGAACGGGGTTTGAACCTCGGATCTGCCATTTAGTAGCTGTGTGGCTTTGGACAAGTTACTTAACCTGGCTGAGTCTTGCCTTCCTCACTGTTAAAGGCGATAATAATGCTTTCACCTCAGACAGCTACCGGGAAAATTTTAAGAATGTGCCAAGAACAAGGTAAACATCAAATAACATTTCCCAACCCCCCCCATCGAAATGATCAAAAGGGAGGCCATCTCCCTCTGTGCCCTAACTGGTAATCACGTGTCCTTGACTTACTTAGCTAGGAGAAATGCACTGATTACCAAACATTACTGACCCATTCTGTAGAAGAGACCACTAAAGGCAGCGCAGCCATATGCCCGAAACCACGGCAAATTAAAGACTCTGGCGAAATTCCTCTGAAACATTGTTCTGTTTTATTAGGTTGTTCTTTTTTTTTTTAACTAACAGTAAGTTATAGTCACAATAAGCAATATACACTTATTATTAAAAAGTTCATACAACACAAAAATGCATAAAAGTAAAAAGTATAATTTCTCCCCCCCAGTCTTCCCAGAGAAATCCCTGCTAAGAGCTTTATGGATTAGGATGGTTTTTCTACCTAAACACTCATACATACAGAGCTCGCCTTTTTTTGTTTGTTTGTTTGTTTGTTTTACAAAAATGGAATCGTACCTGGGGGTGGGAGAAGGGGAAAAATGGAATCATAAACACTTTCTCCTTTGAAATCTTAACCCCACCTTCCTATTTCCTCCAGGACCTGCCTTTAAGACTCACACTAAGAACCATACTTAGATTTCCTCAGGACCCTGCCTGGTTCAATGATGAGGCACGGACAGGGTAACGCGGACATCCGCGTCCGCCTCTGGCTTTTATATCCCGTAGGCACCTGGGTTTTCCCATCTGTAACGTGGGGTGTGTTCACATGACCTTGAACTACAAAGGCCTCTCTCTACTATGCACAGCACTTTCACAGTGGTCCTCAAACTATCCTGTCCAGGGACATGGTGATGGTGCCATTACTTCCAATGCCCTAAGGAAAAATCAGAGGCCAAAGAGGTTCTTCAAACGGCCAAGGTGACCACTGGTCAGCAAGAGAACTGGGGTAGACACCAAGTTCCCTGGGTCCTGGTCCTGTGCTTCTTTCTCTGCAAGCTTTCCCACTCAGCCGGGGAGAACCCAGGCCAGGTTCCTCCTAGGCCCGGGAGATGTGGGCATGTGGGTGGCATTAAGACCACAGCTCCCACCACTCTACAGGCAGCACGGCTCCCTCACCTTGCAGAAAGCATGCTACTCCTCTTCACTCTCCACCAGCCATAAGCTGTCTGACCTGTTCTCGTCCCCCTTCACAAAATCCCAGGAAGGAAGCTCAAAACCATACTGAGCCCAAAGGCTCTGCCCTGCTGTGCTGCGCGCTGGCCTAACCCCCCTCCTGCCCCTCCTCCCGCCTGCCCAGGCTCCTCAGTGCCCAGCCCCACCTCACTGCTATGCGCGGCGGCCCAAGGAACCTGTGTTTCTGTCCTGTTCTTGGCAACTGGGGAGCAGCTCCTGCTCAGCTCCTCGTGGCCACAAGAAGAGACATCCTTACCCTGCAGAGTTCCCCACGGGAGCCACCGTCCCAGCACCAGCCTGCCTTCCCTCGGGCAGCCTGGGGCCCTAACAATGGTTCTTCACCCCCAAAGGCCTTTCCTCATGGATCCACCAACCCCTCTGCTTGCTCAGCCTGTAAAGGGCCTCTCCATGCCTCACTCCTCCTTTCTCCCAAAGTCCACCTCCAGACTCACCTCCTCCGAGGGGCATGCCATGATCCGCCCCGCCCAACAGCAGCTGCTCCTCTCCTCGACATCCCCTCCGCCATCAGTGGTCACTATGTAGGTATTAATTTGCCCCGGTGGACACATGGCAGCGGGAGAGCCTCTCCCAGCAGTGGCAGCAACACACACATGATCTGTGCCCCCAGCTAGTCTGGGAGCACCCAGGGGACAGGGGACATGCCTTCCAGGCCTTTTGCGTCCTCTGCAAAGCCCTCCGGGTGTCTTTTCCCCTGGGCTGAGTGCCTGCACTTCTGGGCGGGAAGGCCTCTGATGCCGCCTAGGCAGGGAGGTCTCAGAAGGGTTTGCAGGCTCAGATAAGGACGCTCCTCTTCCCTGAATGGCCCAGCCCCTCACTTCAGCCTCCTGGGGACCTGCGTGGGGCCAACTGCTTCTCCCTGAGGGACAGAGTGTTCCAGGCGTTCTCTGGTCCTCTAACCGCCCCCCCCCCCACACACACACAACATCTGCATCTCAAGGCTGAGGCCCATCAGGACACAGAGCCCTACAGATAACTGTGATTCTCACTCCACTCTTCAGGCCTCCCAGAGACTGCTAAATACCTGACAGCCTCCAGAGGAAATGTGTTTGGGAAGATGAATTCTACTCTAGAGGCTCCCAAGTGAAAGATGGGTGCACCAATATCACCAGAGCAAACAGGACCCCTTCCGCAAGTTAAAATATTGTAAGGGGAGGTTCCTTTTCCCCAGGCTCTTTACGGAGGTCCGTCCCCTCAGGCAGCCCAGGGACCGGAAAGGGTTCTTCACCCTTATCTACCATTATTTATGCTTCTTTTTTTTTTTTTTTAAAGATTTTATTTATTTATTTGAGACAGAGAGAATGAGAGGGAGGAGGGTCAGAGGGAGAAGCAGACTCCCTGCCGAGCAGGGAGCCCGATGCGGGACTCGATCCCGGGACTCCAGGATCATGACCTGAGCCGAAGGCAGTCGCTTAACCAACTGAGCCACCCAGGCGCCCCCATTATTTATGCTTCTAACTGCGAGCTCCGAGCTCCCTTTCAACAAGCATGGGCTGGGCACCACAGATTATCCATTTGACACTTCTATGTACTCACAACAAATCAGGAGGAAAATGGGATCCCCGCTCTTGATAAGAAACTGAGGTCTGGGGAAGGGAGATGTTAAGCAGGGACAGGGCCCATGCTGGGCGCATCCACCTGCCCTGACTTGCGGTGGGGCGCAGAGACTGCATCTTACACAGGAGGAAGCTGGGGCCATGAAATCAAGTGAGGGACCCCAAGCACCCAGCAACCGGTGTGGCTCCCGCTCAAGACTCCAAACTCGACACTCCTCCCCTAGTTCCCCAGAATCCTCTTGCTAGGAGAACCGTGTAAGGCCTTGAGGTCATGCCCAAGGTCCTCCTGGCGACCTTGGTATGCACTAATACCCCATAACAGGCGCTTCCCGGCTGATGAGAGAGACCAAGCTGCCGCCCAGGACGAGAACAAAGCTGTTACACTGAACTAGCTAAAAATAAAGGAGGTACCCAGTGGCCTCAAGGGGAACAGAACCGCCCTGGAATGTGGCAGGGCAAGAACAACAAGCTTAATTCTCAGCCTCCTGCGCTGGGGCCAGCCTCCAGCCTCACAGTTCCCAGTGTCCCAGGTACCTCCAGCCAAGAGAGAAGAGAGTCTCCAAAGTGCAGTTTGGCTTTCACTATGAGACAATCAGACCCGAACGCCCTGGGGTGCAAACAGTGCAGGGGTGCGAGTAGACCTAGCGAGAAACCCAAAGCCCTCAGGCCTCCTCCAGCTACACTGACCCTGCCCCCATCACCTTGGGCGAGTCACTTCCATGAGCAAAACAGCAACAAAGAAAACTGCCCTCTGGCCCTCATACAGGGCACAGGAGCTCCAGACACCGTGGATTACTCTCCTTCCTCCCTCTCTGGATTACTCTGCCTCGCTGAGCCTCTCGCGGTGCCTAAAGGTGTGTCCCGGCATTCATACAGTTCCCTATGCTCTCCGAGTGTTTCCACATCCCTTCGCTAACTGGATAAATGAGCAGACGGCAAGGCAGGAATCATCCACCCCATCTGACAAATAAGGAAACTGAGGCCCAGACAGCTCGCTGGCCACCACCACACTGCTCAAGCTAGAAGAATCTGTTAGAGATAATGGATCCCAGCCTCCTAGTCTTACGGATGAGGACACTGAAGCCCAAGGACCCAGAAGAACCCACCGCTTTCAATGCAGAGTGCCTCTGCCCAAACTTTAGCCATAAAATTCACTGTCTAGCAGAGCTCTGTCCAACAGAAACATAATGCAAGCCACATGTGTAATTTTAAACTTTCTAGCAGCCACATGTTTTTTAAAAAGAAAAACAGGTGTGGGGCACTTGGGTGGCTCAGTCGGTTAAGCGTCTGCCTTCGGCTCAGGTCATGGTCCCAGGGTCCTGGGATCAAGCCCCACATCGAGCTCCCTGCTCAGCGGGGAGTCTGCTTCTCCCTCTGACCCTCCCCCCCTCATGCTCTCTCTCTCTCTCAAATAAATAAAAATCTTTTTAAAAAATAAATAAGGGCACCTGGGTGGCTCAGTCGTTAAGCGTCTGCCTTCGGCTCAGGTCATGATCCCAGGGTCCTGGGATCAAGTCCCACATCGGGCTCCCTGCTCGGCAGGAAGCCTGCTTCTCCCTCTCCCACTCCCCCTGCTTGTGTTCCTGCTCTCGCTCTCTCTCTCTCTGTCAAGTAAATAAATAAAATCTTTAAAAAATAAAAATAAAAAATAAATAAAGAAAAGAAAAACAGGTGAAATTAATTTCAATAACATTGTACTTAACCCAATATATCCAAAATATTATTCCCACAGGCAAACAATGCTTTTAAAATGATTAATGATAGTTTATGTATCTTTTTGCTATACAACGTCTTTGAAATCCTGTGCATACTTGACACTTAAGAGCACATCTCAAATCAGACTCACCATATTTCAAGTGCCCAGTAGCCATGTGCGGCTAGCGGCTACTGTTCTGGACAGCATAGCTCTAGCATCCCCAGTCTGGGAGCCTTGGGTGATGGTTTCTACTGCAGGCTGCTGCCCTGTACTGTTTTGGAAGCGTGCAGCCCTGGACCACGGTCCGGGTTCTGCAGGGGCGGCGAGATCTGCCCACCGGTGTCAGACAGACCTGCAATTCCTCTCCTGGTCCTACCGCTTTCTGGCCACCAAGATCATGTCAATTTCATTTCCTGAGGTTCAGCTGCCCCATATGTAAGATGCAGGAAGAAATACCTACGTCCAAGTTGGCTGGAAGGACTCAACTAAATCGAGCACGTGAGAGTACGTTGTAAATAGAACAGAACTTTGCAAAGGTGACGTGGTGCCTTGACAGCAATGGCCTGGGTCTCCTATTCCACTCATCCCAGCCACCCAGAGAGACATCAGAGAAGGCACCAGGAGACACCAGAGAAATGAGGGCAGATCGAGTAACAGGGCTGAAGGCAAACCCCAATCAAGGAAACTAGCCGCTTACAAGTGCAGCCAGGCAGAGGCTGCGGGAGAGAATAATCTTCAGGACTAGGCATTACAAGAGCATTAGGGGTTCTTCTTGCAGGTTAGGCATTGCCCTCGGTGGGGGTCCTCTTTTAAATGCAAACAAGGTTGGGGGGGAAGACAAATAGAAAGAGTACAGGGAGAAATTTGAAAAATGGGAAATCCCTAACATTTCACTGTAAATGACTTTATTGGGCCAATTTCCTTCCCAAGTGGAGGGAGTTCATCAACACTGAGCAAAGGTGGAGGGACATGGGGGGAGGGGGGCAAGCAAAGCGCTGGTGTTGGGGAGGATGGGGAGGATGGGGAGGAAGGGGAAGGAGAGAAAGAGGTCTGGGGAACCTGGGGGCGGGGGGAGGTCCTCATCTCTCTGCCTCATCTCTCAACCTCCTTGGCTCTGTTTCCCTAAACAACAAAATGGGAGGGGTTGGGTGTGGTATGGTGGGAAGAACGCGGGTTTCTTTTTTTTTTTTATAGATTTATTTATTTATTTATTTGACAGAGAGAGAGAGAGCGAGAGCAGGAACACAAGCAGGGGGAGTGGGAGAGGGAGAAGCAGGCTTCCTGCAGAGCAGGGAGCCTGATGTGGGACTCGATCCCAGGACCCTGGGATCATGACCTGAGCCGAAGGCAGACGCTTAACGACTGAGCCACCCAGGCGCCCAGAACGTGGGTTTCTGAGTCAGCGGACCAGGTAGTGTTGTCCTTATTACTAATGAACTGTGTGGTCTTCAACAAGTCACTTCACCCCTTGCTGGGGGGGAGGGGGGGTCTCTGTTTCCTCGCTTCTAAATGGAGACGGTGCCTTTCTCCAGGTGGATAAAGACAGGGGCTCCCCCAGCAATGCCACTCCTATGCATATGCCCAAGAGGAATGAAAGCATATGTCCACACAGGAAAAACATGCACACAAATGTTCTCAGCAACATTATTCCAAAGTGGAAATAACCCCATGTCCATCAACTGACATATGCATAAACATACCACGGTATCCAGATACAACTAAATATTATTCAGCAACGACAGACTGATCCATGCTACAGCATGGACGAACCTTGAAAACATGGTGCTCAGTGAAAGACCAGACACAAAGGACACATACTGCATGATTCCAATTATATGAAATGTCCAGAAGAGGTAAATCCATTTTTATGTGTTTTTTTTTTTTTAAAGATTTTATTTATCTGACAGAGAGAGAGAGAGAGAGCAAGTAGGCAGAGAGACAGGCAGAGGGAGAGAGAGAAGCAGGCTGCCCGCCAAGCAGGGAGCCCGATGCGGGGCTCGATCCCAGGACCCTGGGATCATGACCTGAGCTGAAGGCAGACGCTTAACAACTGAGCCACCCAGGCGCCCCAGAGGTAAATCCATTTTTAAAAAAGAAGGTAGATGAGTAGATGCCAGGGGCTGGGGACTATCTGCTTAATGGGTACGGGGTTTCTTTTGGCGCTGATGAAAATGTTCTGGAATTAGATGGTGGTAATGGTTACACAACCTTGTGAATGTACTTGAAGCCATTCTGTACACTTTAAAATGGTGAGTTTTACACTGTGAGTATTATACCTCCACTAAAAAAATAACGGGGCTCTTCCGTTTCCTATCTGAGCCTCGGGGTCTTTCTCCAAAAGTGGAGATCATAACAGTACCCCCCGCACAGGGGCGTTGTGGGGATGTATCGCCTTCAGCACAGTACCCAGCGGTGAATCGTGACAGGCATTCCATGAAGAAATACTGATGATGAAATAAGACCTGTGTTAGGAAAGAAAGGCCCCTAGTCGGCATTCAATGTCCCTCCGAGGTCCCCTTCAGGTGTCAGCGCCTGTGGCCTGTAACCAAGCCTGGAATCAGATGAACACAAGATCCGACATTTTCCGCCCCGGAGCAGGGACCTCGGTTTGCAAACGGCTGGGCTGCACACTTCGCATTTCAGTTGTCCTGCAGTGGGGCACGGTCACCCTCTCCTTTTACGGAAGATAGTCAGGGAGGCCGCGGGCCTGAGCGTCCTCTAACAGAGGCGGGCACATTTAGGGGACTGATAAGCCAGCCGCGCCTGGCTCCACCCAGGAAGGGAAAGGCTGTGCGGGCAGAAGCCCACGTGCATGTTTTAATTCCCGGAAAAGTGCAACGGATTCCCACACTGGAGCACGGGGGGCCACAGAGAGCCCTCCCCGCCTTTCCCTGCGCCTACTCCCCCTCCTCGGGAGCGTGCTCGCGTCCCAGCAGCAGTCAATGGGGCTGGCACGGCTCTCAACGAGAGCTGTCAACCTCACAAGGGCTCTGCTTGATATGGTAAATGAGGAAATGGCTAATTTTAAACTAAGCTGAGTGCTCTAATGTGAATGGAAATGACTGGGAAGAAAGAGACTCTTTAAAAAATTATCTACTTGGGATGCCTGGGTGGCTCAGTCGGTGAAGCGTCTGCCTTTGGCTCAGGTCATGATCCCAGGGTCCTGGGATCGAGTCCCGCATCGGGCTCCTTGCTCAGCGGGAAGCCTGCTTCTCCCTCTCCCTCTGCCTGCTGCCCCTGCTTGTGTGCGTGCGCTCGCTCTCTCAATCTCTCTCCCTGACTAATAAATAAATAAAATCTTCATATAAAAATTATCTACTAAAACATGTTACAGGTTTGACCGTCCCGAGGGTTAGTGTGGGACAAGAGGAACCTGTACAAACTTCTGATGGAAGTATGAAGTGGCAGGACCCCCGGGGGGATGGCAATTTGACAAAATCTGGAAAATGGGAAGATGCACATACTCCTCCGCCCAGCAGTTCCATCCCAGATGGACAGCCCAGAGCCCAGAGCCACGCGCATGCCTACTGGAGCCGTGCATGAGAAGAATCACAGTGGCACTGTTTGTAATGTGAAACATCAGAAACCCAAATCCCCATCAAAACAATAGATAAATTATACATTGTGGTATATTCACACAATGTAAGAGCATGCAGCAGTTTAAATTGATGAAACACAGGTGTATGGATCAACATGGAAAAACCCCGAAGGTAGATAGATCGCTGAGGTGGAAAAGGCGAATTGCAGAAGGATACATAGAGTATAGCATCATTTACAAAAGCTTACAACCACATAAAGTAACACTATACACTGTTTATAGATACATGCTATGTAATAAAGGCATAAAAACATGCATGGAAATAAGAAACATCTAAAACAAGACAGAGGCGCTCTCTGGAAGGAGAAACAGAATGGGACAGAAGATGGGAATGCAGGGCTTCCAGTCTTCTCTATTGTAATTGTAACTGTCTGTAACTTCTCAGGCTGAGTGGTGGGTACACAGGTGTTTGTTAATGTTAATCTCAAATCTCATTTTTATGCATCTCAGATATTTCGTAATAAAATTTGACTCCTACAGGGCGCCTGGGTGGCTCAGATGGTTAAGCGTCTGCCTTCGGCTCAGGTCATGATCCCAGGGTCCTGGGATCGAGTCCCGCATCGGGCTCCCTGCTCCTTGGGAGCCTGTTTCTCCCTCTGCTTCTCTCTCTCTCTCTCTCTCTCTGTCTCTCGTGAATAAATAAATAAAATCTTAAAAAAAAAAAAGTGTTTAAAATAAATAAATAAATAAATAAATAAATAAATAAATAAATAAATAAAATTTGACTCCTACATATTGACTTGCGGGGGAGAGAATTAAAATATAGATTCCAAGTTAAATCATTAAAATCAACAAAGATGGATTTTTCTTCTAGAGGAAAGAAGCAGAAGGAGTAAGAAGAGCCCATTGGACCCCATTCCAGATTATCTTAAGACCTTGAGAAAACCATGTCTCTCTCCATGGGACCTCCAGTCCCTGTTTCTAAATGAGGAATAAAATCCGTGCCTTGGGTCTGCCGCACAAAGGGCAGGCGGCGGGATGCCCAGGGGAGGCGCTGCTCTGGGACACTCGCGAATAACACTACTTCCTGTCCTCACAACGTCTCAGGAGGTTTTTGAAAGCATACACACACACAAGCATGTTGTACATTTGTGCGTACTGTTAGACAGGCACATGCGCACGTGCACACACACACACTTGATATCTGATAAGACAGCCAGAATCGGTACTGGGATGCTCAGAGATAACAAGCCATTAAAGAGAGAGCAAACTACATTTTGAGAACTATCCATCTGACTCTCCCTCACAAAGTTTCTAAGTATAATATTCCCATTTGTCCACCTAGAGCCCGGCTTTAAGCCACTCCTGAGCGAGTGATTTCCCACCCATGACCTGACCCCTGGCCCCCAACTGCGAGAGCATTCTGTGCTTTGCACTTATCGTAAGACAGCAAATCATAACTTATGCTCCAGGGGAACAGGGATCATGTCTACCAAGTCTGTAGTCGTCACCCCAGCCTCGCACAGCCCTGTGCACATGATAAAGGACTCAAACGTCTTCCAAAGACACTACTGAGTTCCCATGACCGGACTGGATTCTAAAGGTCCTCAAAGCAATAAGCAGGTGCCAGCAGTCTGGCCATGACCGCTTCCGGCCTCGGAGGGGTATGGCTGCCCCGCTGTCTGCAGGGGCGTCCCCAGGCATGCTCACAGCGGACTCCAGGGGCTAATTCTACCCAGCAGGAATCCCTGACTGCAGACACATGCGGAGACAGTACCAAATCAGTCTCTTTTGGAGAAGGCTGCCCATGCCATCTCCAGAAAACAGCAGGAGCGTGGGAGGATGGCAGAGCATGGCCAGATGTGAAAGTCCCTCATACCCACCCGGTTTCCCAGTTTATTCCCTCACGAAGGTCCCAAATTATCAAACCAAATGAAGCGCTGGGGCTTCTCTTGGGGGGGGAGAACTCCGAAGACATCTGAAGTAGCAGGGACAAGGATTATGAGATGAAGATTCACCAAGAAGTGAGGCTCTTCCTGGACATTTGTGTAACACCAGATCTAAAGGTATCTGAGGTATTTTTCATAATTTTCTAACCCTCCTCTCCCTCACCCCTGATCAATAAGGCAAGGGCAATTTTTTATGCTGGCTTTTGCAGCTGGGACACATGAGCTCTGAGAAAATAAACCGTGGATAGCCCTTTAACTGCTAAGCATACTCTCCCCCACCTTTCTGGGCCCAGTACTCCTGAGTTCAGCTGTCGGACAAATCGCACCTGTTTGTTCACCTGCTAATGGGGATTACTTAGAGTCACGGGGATCCCACTCAGAGATAACCCACTCGTCACCATTCTGACAAACTTAGAGGAAAGGAAGCTAGTTCTTCCTTTTTTTTTTTTTTTTTTAAGATTTTATTTTTAAGTAATCTCCAAACACAATGTGGGTCTCAAACTCACAACCCTGAGATGGAGAGTCGCATGCTCTACCGACTAAGCCAGCCAGGCACCCCGGGAAGCTAGTCCTTAAGAGGCCAAGTTCTCACCTTGCTGGACTCCTCTTTCTCTCCCAAACAAAGCACTATGCACACAGTCACCCTCCTCCAGGCTCCTAACAGCGAAGCCAAGCGGAAGAAGCAGGCAAGGTGACAGGCCTGTTAAAAGTTACTTGGAGGTCAAAGGACCCAGTCTCTAGCTGCAGAACTAGTAGATGTCTGGGATTCTGATGAATGGGATCTTTCACAAACACACACATGCCTTCCCTTTCCTGCTGAAAGCACTAGGAGAGTAAAAGGAAAATACGTCTTGTACTTATTTCAGTCTAATGCCAGGACACGCTTTTCCCAGCACCCCATTAACCAATATCATGAAGGGACAGTCTGGTAAATGGGGCTCCACACCAGGTAGCCAGGCACTTGGCCTGTTTCAACCCCGGATATCTTTATGAAATTGAATTAGTGACATGTCTTATAGGCAATGGAGAGAGAAATGATAACCCGTTTCATGATCGCTTCTGTATCCTGAGCAATCCCGAAGAAACCTTCCCTGGCACCATCCCATCTTCCTTCCTCCTATCCCCAGGCCAGAAGGCAAGAAAATGAATGAAGGTTAGTGGGGGGTGCCAGGGCTGTCTCCAGAGCCCCAGAGCCTGCCTAGGGCTGAAGGGCTGACTCATCATGGCTACCCACGCTGGCTGGGTAGGCAGGCGGGGGGCTAGCCTCACTGGGTCCCCACTGGGTCGCAGGGAGGGCCCAATTTCGGCAAGAAGAACAGGCCTTGCAGCCCTGCAGCCCCACCCAGGCTTTTCACAGCAAGCAGTGGGTAGAAAGGGCCGCTCTCTACCAAGTCTTGAGTTCCAAGAGAGAAGATGCAGTCCCCCAGCTTCTGCAAGGTGGGGGTGGGGAAAGCTGACTAGGCCACCGGAACGCGTGTCCACTAGGCTCTCAGGAGGCCCAGGAAGCTTCCTGGTGACCACACCCATGGATAGCAATGCCACGTAGCCCATAATGCAGACCAAGGTGATCCTCTGGCGGGAATACACACACACATCCCCCCCATAGAAAGCAGTTTAAGATGGTCCCCAGTGGTGTGCAAGAAAGCCATCTCGTTCTTAAAACTCTCCGTGGCCAATAATAATATGTGGTGGAAGTTTTGGCCTCAAGACCCTCCTCCAGCAATGTTCTGAGGCCAGCAGAGGGTGGGGAGGGAATGCCAGGATCCCAATCTCAGAGCAGAAGGGATTTGAGGACGACCACCAATTGAATCAGAAGTCACACACCCAGATGCCTCAGGGAGCCTGGTGGATAGAATTCGAGGGAGGCCACAGTCAACACTGAGTGCCTGATAAAACAATTCTTACTGAGTACAGTCCAAACCTCAACCCAACATAGGCCCTGGAGACCACACAGGTGATGGCGGGTATGGCCGGTGGAAGCTTAGAAGGGTCATCTGGGTCCCCCATCTCAGGGATCTGCTGTCTTGAGCTACAGTGTGTGCCACATGCAGGGGAAGGACAGTGAACTCATCTGTAGCTTAAATTCCCCACTGGAAATGGGAAGAACATCAACGGCACACCCAACCACTGAGGAGAACGTGAAATGTACCTGCAGGCAGGCACAGCTCCTGAGCTCAGTGGCCAGAGGAAGCTCCACGTGCTGCTGGCAATGAGCAGGAGTCCCACAGTGGGACAACTCTAAAGTCACTGTTGCTCCTAGCTATGAGGGGCGGTGGCAGATTTCCAGGCCTGTCTCCTAATTGCCCTACTCAGGTCCCCACTCAGCACAGGACCCAGGATCCAAGCAGCATCCCCAGGGCCTTTGTCTCAGCACCTCCCCCTCAGCTGACTTCCAGTAGGAGCCCGGGTTCCCAGGGGAGGGAGGGAGAGACCCGCCCTAGCTCTGCCTCTAACTCACGGGGTGACCTTGATGAGGTCACTGCCCGCAGCAGGCCTACTTCCTAGTGTGCCAGAGGGGGTTGTCCTAGGTAGGTAGGAAGAGAACTGAGTGAACATCCTGTGGCTTTACGCTCCCGCCTCTCACCTGTGGGTACTTCCCTCGTCTGAACTCCACAGTCAGGTTCACTGTCCATCCCAGCTTACTCCAGCAGTCCTCCCGTCACCCATGGTGGGTGTGGGTGGGTCAGGGGCCCGTGCCAGGCCTCGGACTGGTAAAATGGGCGCTCTTCCTCACCACCTAGGCTGTTCCTTAAAAACATGGTGGCAGGGCTGGCATAAGGGAGAGATACACCTTTAAGACCTGCCAGTGGACAGTATTTTCTGCTAGACAGATGTCCAAGGCAGCAACCCCTTAGGGTAGGGAGATGCATCCCTGTGCGAGTACACACATGTCACAGGCATACATGTGAAGGCCTCCATCCGACTCAAAAGACCAGTCTCTTATTTAAGCTCCCTGCGCTGGCTGGAAATTACAGTTTAAGAGAGCAGTCACGTAGAGGAATAAAAAATTCCATTCAGACATGCCGCTCCAGACCTGAGGCCTATGAGCAAAGTTTCCGGTGGCCTCCGCACCCCTCCCCGTTCCGGGAAGCCGGGCGGGTCACCCTGTCCCCAGATTAAGGGGGCAGCCGCAACAGCGGGTAGAGCCGGGGTGAGAGCTTCTCCGGGACACCCGGCGCCCTCCGCGGGGAACCCCAAATATGGGATGCCCGGCCTCCAGCCGGCACCCCCGCCTGCTGCGCACTCAGCTCCCCAACATCTCTGTAATCACTCCTCCGCCCACGGCGCTCAGAACCTTCGGAACAGGCCCTGCGGACCGACCCACCGGTCCCCGGGCTCAGGCGCCACCCCGCGTGGCCCGGGGGCCCGTCTGACATCCACAGCCCGGCTCAAGGACACTGTAGCACGCAGCCCGGTCTCGGGGGTCTTCCCCCCACCACACACACAATCCCGGGCAGAATCGCAGGGCGAAGGCTTCTCCCGCCCTGCAGTCCAAGCAGTGCCGGCCTGGGGGAGGCTGGGCGCGGGAGGATGGAGGCGGCGGCGGCGAGCGGATGCCGGAATGCGACGCTGCGGGCAGAGCGCCGGGCGGCGGCGCGCGCGGGGGCTCACCTTTTTGACTTGGTCATCCTTCAGCTCGGTGAAGTAATAGGCCAGGAGCTGCGCGGCGATCATGCTGACGGCGGCGGACGCGGGGCGGCGGGCGTGGGGCCGGCGTCGGTGCTCCGCAGCCCGGGCGAGCAGTGGTCCTCGGGCGGCTGCTCGGCGGCTCCTCCTCCTCCTCCTCCAGCCGCGGCTCCACCCCCAAGGCCCGGGAGGCGGTGGCTCGCGCGCTCCCCGGCTCCGCGCTCCCGTCCCCGGCAGGGTGACAGCCGCCAGCCGGCCCACCTCCTCGGCGCCCATTGGCTGCCGCCCGCCTCTGCAGCGCCAGGCGGCGGCGTCCGGGCCCGGGCGGGGGGGCGCGGCGGCCGCTCCCTCCCGCGCCGGAAAGGGGGCGGCGGCGCTGCGAAATCCCCCACGGGCCGGCATCTCCCGGCACGTCCCCCACGTAGGGAGCCGGCGCGAGGGCGGGAGGCTCGCTCGGGCGCGCAGGGTCGCGCGTGGCGGCGCCCGGCCGGGCGGACGCGCGCGGAGCGCGGGAGGAGGTGCCGCCCGGCTCGGGCGGGACGAGCAGCCCCCGAGGAGGGCCGGCTGCCGGCCGGAGCGGCCTGCGGGGGCGGCCCCCTTCGCGGGAAAATGAAGCTCGCCCCCGGGAGTTCCGCGGATGGGGAGACGCCGGAGGCGGGTGCAGAAGTGGGCGTGCAGAGCGAGCTGGGCCTGGGCCGGAGGAGGCGAGAGCCGGCAGGCTGCGCGGTCCTCGCACCCGATCGTCGCTCCGGCCGGCTCCTGCGGGTCCGCCGGGCAGAGCGCCGAGCCCCGGCTGCGTCCTCCGGGCAGTGCATCCCCCCTAACCCGGCTCGCCCGGCCTAATCTCCGGCAGGCGGATTTGTGTTGCTAAATCGAGAGCGACGCCCCACAGCGCAGGCCCCGGAGTCACTGGTTCCTGCCGCTCTTCCGAGGGCTCACGCCCCGGCCTGTCCGCACCCCTCACCCCCCACCCCGGGCTTCCTCTTCCTCTCTGGCACCCAGGCCCGCGGGCGTCCGGGGGATCCTTCAGGCGCCCCTCCGAGGTGCCACCTTTTTCGCTTCCTCAACGGAAGTGAGCCGGACTGGGAGGAATCCTGAGAAACACGTTCAGCCTTAACGAGGGGGAGGGGAGGTGCGGAATCAGGCGGTTAGGCTGCGGCTTGGACCGATCGCTATCGGGGTGTTCTTAGATCCGTCGCGTCTGGGTGCGGGAGTTTTACTGCCTCACGAGGAGACATGTAATGAGCTCAAAATACGATGAAGTGGTTACTATCCTGATTCAACAGGTAATCAAGTTGAGGCTCACGGAGGCGGCGTTTCTTGCCGAACTTTATACAACCAGGAAGTTGTAGATCCCAGGATTCGGTCTGTGTGTTTTCAAAGTCAATGCTCACCCTTGCAGTTTGCGGTCCTTCCTCTCTGCGGAAATGGGCCGTGCTCTTGGGACCAAGGCTGCACCACGTGGTGCCCTGAGAGATGGCCACAGTCCAACCCCCCAACCTCTACCCCAGACCTGGATCCGGGGGAGCCCTGACCAGCCTACATAAAGGTACAGTGGTCTCGGGGGAGAGGGCTTAGGTCCAGGACATTCCTCCTCAGGAACATCAGGGGTCTGACCGCTGCAGTCACCAACTGAAGAGGACCTCAGATGTGGCCCTTGAGGCCAGAGCCTTCAGTCAGGAGCTCAGCACTCATGGCTGGCTTTCTGGCTGTGACATTCTGAGTCACCTTCCTGAGCTTGCTTCCTCATCCATAACATGGAGATCCTAAAGCCCACCCACCCACTACATTAAAACACCTGCTTATTAGACACCATAAATGGTGGGATTATAAGATTGGGAAGCTGATGAGGGCTTCTCACTTGCATTCTTCCCCGTTCTAGGCCCTGAGAGGGCGTAGTAATTTTATATTTGTAATTTGGATTATTTTCTAAAGAGGCTCCCTAAAGTTATTTAAGCTTCAAACCCCACAAAGCCTGGGTCTGCCCTCAGGATAGTACCGTTATAAACTAGGAACAGAAGTTCTCTGGCATCCATCCAACGCTTACACTGTCTACATGGCCATAAAGCAAAACTGGGAGAAAGAGAACGATTTGGTTGTTCTCCACTGCCATCTGAGGCCTGCAATTGTGAGGCTGGAAGTTCCTTGAGGATCAAGAACTGTGTTTAGCAAATTGCTCTGGCTTCCACACCTAACCCTCCAAGGTGGCATGAGCCCAGTGCAGTGATCAGAAGCATTCAGAGTATACATAACCCTCAACCCGCACCCCCCCCCCCGCCGCCATCACTGTGCCCCCATTACATCCATGTTCTCTGGGATCATCATGAGCTGGAGCCAGGGAGCAGCTTTCCCAGTTTTCCAGGCTACCCCGAGATACTATGTTTGCAAGCAGGGCAGCTGCCAATGCTTTCTGTTCCCTGGCAGTTGAGAGAGAAAACTGCTTCTCAAGATGACTCCTTCCTCTCCACCCCTTGAATGCACGCGGGCCCCAAGGTCCATCAGTATTTCCTGAGAAATACCTCTAGGCCTGCGCCACTGCTTCCTTCAACCCCTAGGCCTCATTGTCCCATGCCAGAAATATTACAAAAGTCTTCTAGCTGCCCTCCCTGTTTCCTGGCTTTCTACCATCCAAGTCATTCTGAAGTCCAGGCCACATTATTCCTGCTAAAAAAGCAGCCTAATCCCATCATAGCTCTGCCCCAAATCCCTTGATGACCTCCTCCTTCCTGGCGGAGCCAATTGAAACACTTCTGCCTGATGTCTGAGGCCTTCTGTGATCTGACTCAACTCTTCCCCACTTATCTCTTCCTCCCCCCGGAGCCACAGTAAGGCCACTTCCCGCTGTCCCCGGCCCGCCAGGTCCCTTTGAGCTCCTGCTCGTATATCCCTGCTTGCCCCATCTTCTCCACTCACCACCCCCTGACCAAGTGTCCCGGTCACCCTCTCACTGAGGCCCAGCTCTCCCACCCTCCACAGAAAGCCTTTCCTGAGCATGCTACTCACCCCAGTCTCCCAGACCTTAGCACTTCCACAAGGCCAACTCGGACTGTGCTCACAGTCCATCTAGATCTAGACCAAGACTCTTCTTTACAGACGAGGAACCTGCGATGCAGCAAGTGGGCCATCTTTGTCCAGTGTCAGGCTGTGGTGGAGGTTGGAGCTGGGACTCAAACCCAGTTCTGATGCCCAGCCAGTGCTCTGCCCATTCTCCCCAACCCCCACCACACTGCAGCCTGGGCCTCAGATAAGTGAGGCTGAGTCCTAACAGTCTGCCTGATATTGGTGACTGTCTTCTGGGGGGCTGGCCTTCTCTGCCCCAGTCACACAGCTTCCTGAGACCAGAGCCCAGGCTGCACTGCTGCATCCGCTCCTGGGCTCAGAGCTGGGCCTCTGTCCCCTGCCTTATCATGCCAGTGATCACCTCAAGCACTTCTTTATTATCCCACCTCTTTTTGCTGTCAGATAGCTCTTAGACCCCAGCTGAGCCTGATGAGGGAGCAGGAGGCTAGCTGAGGACAAAGCACAAGCTGACGCACCGCAACCTCCCCTCCACACACACTCCGGAGTGGGATATATGTGACATTCCTTTAGGAAACCTCCAACTGTCTTAACATTGATGCTTTGCTAACAGGGAAAAACAACCTTCACTTGATAATAGCCAGGCCTCCGGTATCCTGAGAGTCCTCTTTAGCATATGAGAGCCCTTTTGGACACCTCCCTTTTTCCTTACCTCCCCTAACTCCATAGTGTATAATCAGCCATTCCTCACAACCCCAGGGCAGCAGCTCTTTCTACCCACTGGTCCTGTCCCCGTGCTTTAATAAAATCACCTTTTTGCACCAAAGACATCTCAAGAATTCTTTCTTGGCCATCGGCTCCGGACCTCACCAACGTTCCAAAACTACATCAAGCCCCTTGCTGATTATTCTCTGGACCCCAAGGAAGAACAGCAAAGACCTTGACCATTGGAAATCTAGTTCCAGAGGTCTCCCCTCACCCTCCAGATGGCCCTCCCCTCTCACCAAAATCCCCTGGATTTCCCTGTTCATTGTGCTCCCTCTTGTACCAGAGTTGGGATGGGGGCTGGTGGGGGAGGTCAGGCCATGCCAGGCTGCCACCCACAAAACACAGCTGCCAGTAAGAGAAGGCAGGCCACGGCCATGTCAGAATGTGACAACTCCCATCTGACCCCGGGCGCTGGAAATGGCACTCCAGAAATTCTCTCCAGCGGATCAGAGCTGTACCCCAGCACCTGGGCGCACACTTCTACCGGCAATGTTTGCATCATACGGACAGTTTACAGAGCATTTATTTTCTCGAATAATGCCTCATTTCTCCTGATAACAGGCTGGTGAGGTTACCAGGGCAAATATCATTATCCCCACTTAATCAGTCAATGAGAGCGTGTTTAAGGTCTCCGAGGCAGAGGCAGGGAAGAAAGAAAAAGGAAGGCTAGCGTGCGAGCCACTGCCATGTGTTGGAATCCTGAGCAGATGGGGTTGCTGGCAGGCAAAGCATGGTCTGAGAGGAAGCACCTGGAAGGGGTCCTGAAACCCACATTTCTATTAGATCTGTGGATTTCAACCTGGCTGCTTTTACAAATGCTGATGCCCAGGCCTCGGCCCCAGAGGGCGGCGGAACTGACCTGGAGCGCAGGCCAAACAGCACTTTACAAAGGTTCCCCAGGTCCATCTCAGGTGCTGCTAGGATCATGAATCGCTGATTTAGATGCTAACTCTCCACGGGAACGGGTGGAGGAAATTTCTGAAATGAATCCACCAGCGCTGTTTTCTGCGGCCCCTCTTGGACAACACTGAAGGCAGCTGGTTTTGCTCCCTGGAGGGGCTGGGGCTGTAAAATCACATTCTCGGGGAGGGGGTAGGGGGATGGGGAACTGGGGGATGGACATTAAGGAGGGTCTGTGATGTCATGAGCACTGGGTATTACATAAGACTGATGACTCACTGACCTGTACCTCTGAAACCAATAATACACTATATGTCAATTAATTGAATTTAAATTTTAAAAAAATCACATTCTCGGCCTGTCTCCCTTCCTCTTTTATTTGCCCAAAGTTCTACCCACTGACAACATCATCACAGAGGTTACAAATTGGCAACAGGCTACCACATGGCCTAGCACATATCTTATTTAGCCCACCTAACATGTTACAAGTATGATGAAAACACTGAAAAATTAGGAGATTTCACTTGAAAATCCAGGTTCCCAGCATCTCAGGTCTAGCCACGCTGGGCCCCTGTTATCCCGGGGCAA